TCGCACTGGCGATATCAATAGGCAATGATTGATACAATGGAGAGCGACAGGAGTGCATATATGGATAAACCCACTCTTGGGACTTCGGCGGCAAACAGAGAGTTGCGAGAGTTCTGGGTGGATTCGTGTTTGCGATTTTATTTGACTGGGAAATCACATATTGAAGATAATAAATGCAATTTTTTCGCGTTGTTTTGAGCCAATACCTCCTGACGGGCCATTGACAAAAAAATATCTCTAACCTTTGCACAATAAAAATGTTTCCTCTCTCTCTCTCTCTTATTTCCAAAGCTCGATTTTGCTCCTCGCTTTTTTTCCACACTATGTTTGTGGAGTCAAAGACCCTTTTTCACTATGGATATTTTTTGGACAAAAGTTTCACAAGCAAAAATACACACCGTGAAAAGTTTCATGAACTTTTTCCACCCTTAAAAAGCATAGTATATGCTTTTTTGCGACATGTGGAGGCTGCATGTATGGAAAGTCAACAAAGAAAATACACTGTGTGCCCGTGTGATTTTTACATCGTTTTGAGCATTTCTCTCGTGATAAATCATTGTTGAATTTCTGTAAATTTGCTGTACACATCACACTCTTGGAAATTGCCAAATAGATCGGTCTCTTTAAATATTTTACATCAATAAAATCAATTGCACACAATATTTTGCAAATATTTGCCATATGAATATTTCAAATATATGTGAATAAATAAATATGAAGGAAAGGTGCGCATTGTTGAATCCGCCGGGATGTGTAGCCACGTGTATATTGCTTGTATCCACAAATTTGTGAAATTAGCCAAGTGATCCCCACTAATGAAGGGAACTCGGGGAGTAAGTAAATAAGGTGGTTATGCTGGCAGATGAGGAGCAACTTGTAGAAGCGACAAAAAATCTGGGATCGTTCCTCGAGAAGAGGAAAAATTGATTATTTCCGCTATAAAACTTAATAATGGCAATTTGAATCAATTTCGATTTGTTTGGGGGGAACTTGAAGACTCGCGAGATTTTATACCCAGTCTGACGATCTCCGCGCTCTTATAGTTTGGGTGTAGAAACCAAAGTTACACGGCGGGTTTTTTCTCTCTCTCTCTTCTTCTCTCCCTCAATTCCCAACATCATTCCGCGGACGAGAAGCGTGGCGAGCGAGAGAGATGGAATAGTCATTTAGTGGCTGTTGACGAGGACGAAGCGGCTTCATGAATCAACTTGGTGAATAGTTCACACGCTGCACTAATTTTTCTCTTATCATATCTGGCATTATCCGTCCCGCAACTATAACAAAACGAGAAAATGATTTATGAGATCGCGTTACCGTGAAATTGAATAATTTAGCTTGGAAAATAACACCATATGCAGCGTTGTGTGTAAAGTCAAAGATATCCCAGCGACCGAAATGAGGGTTAAATATTCATGGTGATGCATTCTGTATTCTTCACTTCCCCCGCGCGATGGCTTGTGGTGAATTACAAAGTCAAAACAATTTTTATCCCCCTAGCACATCGCACTCGCCCCACACAATTCCAGCCCTTAAACAACCATTTACACTTTGTACCGTCCACATCCTTCCGTGCTGGCGCAGCGGGGGCGGAATTAAAAATTTGCATACAGAGTAATTACAAATTGCATCATTCGTCAGGCATCGCAGGCGTTAGACGAGATTTCTGTGCAAATTCAGACACAAACATCTTGTTCACGGCCAAATGGTCAGCACCACTTTAGGACGCTGTTGCGCCACTGCTGCGATACAAAATAGACCGTGAATGCGAAATTGCTTCAATTGAAAAGAGTGTACAAGTACATGATTAATCAGCATGGATTTCGCTTTCAAATGAACCTAAATCAATCTATGGACTCCTGAAGGTCACCACATATAATTACGTGCTTGAAAAGTCAAACACAAACAGAGGTCATGAGTTGTCAAAATGATTCTAAAAACAGCCTTCAGAACTTCTCATAGGAATTTAAAGCTGTACTCTTAATCCTGGAAAGCTTCACTGTTGTGTTTCTCAATATAAAATATTCCCATCGAACGCAGTAAATATAGTAAACATAGTAATTACAATAAATCAAGAAAATAATAATGCTTTGCTACCAACATACCTAGCAAGATTAGACGTACAACTAATACCTCTTATTTGCTCAATCACTAATATTTTCGGCGTGATCAGCAAGTTATATCTGCGCGATACCTGTTGTTATAGCCCACCCCTGTATTGGCAAACTGACAGTTTTATTAGGTAAATATTTTTCGACAGAACACTTTGTTGCGCGAAAAATCCATGTCTCATGGAACATTTATGTGCAAATATGCAGCGGAGAAAAAGTCCAGAAATAGCTCTTTTTGCACGCAATATTCTAGTAAATGCCATTGAGATTTATTGTCGCGAAGACCTCCAAAGTTCCCTATATGAGGAGAAGAGCCCAATTTCTTAGTACAAAGTGAGGTTTGAGAAAGTACAAAGGCCCATGCACACAGCGCACACCTTTCCCGGGTAAATTGTGTGATATTGCTGAAAATTGAATCAATAAGTAATTTGAGAACAGGAAGTTGAATCATTGATGATGTTTTATTACCCGAAAAAAAGAGAATATACGCCGTGGAAGTGACTCCGGGGACTGGGAGCATTATATATGTAAGTCTCTCTTCTTGCGTGTTACATCAGAAAGGAATTTCCTTTGTCGTGAAAAAGAGATGGAAGAGAACTTTTTCACTGATCATTCAGTTGTGAATAATTGATTACGAACAGCAGAGTCTTATAATGAACTGATTACTTTATTCTGTAATGTTAATTTGGGAAATATTAGTAACGGTTGCTTGTTGACTGATATTTTCTTATAAATCATAAGGGCAGAAAAAAGTTCAAGTCAAAGAACACGTCTCAACACACCGTGGAAATGAGCCAAACCTCTGTGAACGCCCAGGGAAAAGTGAAATAACAAAAGGAACGGTAGAAAGAGCCATGAAATAAAAATGTATAGAATTGAAATTTAATTATGCAACATTCACTCTAGCCAAATAGAAATTATCCTTCTCACAAAAATTATAATGAGTGGTACGCTTTGCTGAATATCTTGACTATAAATAATGGTTATGACTTTTTCTCTTCTTGCTATTGGTATTTTTCATGTAATTACGAGGGCGAGGATTTTATTTTCACGTGATTTCTCTCCTCGCCACTCCTTCCGGACTCCCTCCACCTCTTCCTCCCTTTCCGGGGCGCATTCACTGGGATACTTCTTTGTCAGTTGCTCGAAAATCCCGGCTGTGAAATGATCCTCGCGAAAATAGCATGAAAACGATATCACCATTAGAGGAAAAGGCTCGAAGCATCGCAGAAAACTCAAGAGGAAGAGCTTTTTCCTTAATGAAATCTCACTTCTATATTGGCATAATTTCAGAAATATGCATGCAAACTTGAACCATTCTTATTCGGTTTTCAAAAATAACACACCATTCACGTTTTCTCCCTCTCGCTCACCCTGTTCTAAATCGATATTGCTAACCGTTTCTCGTGAATCATTCCCGGGTCTGAGCAACAGAAACCGCGAGAAAAATAAAGAACACATTTCAGACTTGTGCTCTTGAATATAATGAATCTGCAATGTTAATGGTTGTGAAAAATGTGGCTCGACCGTCAAAATCAGCGTAAAAAACCATCCCACTAATGACCATTTCTTATACCTCCCAGCCATGATTCCGTCGACGCTTCGGCCCTAGCACGAGACAGGAAAAAATGGGTTACAATTGCTGAAGAATATTTAATTAAGTGGGAAGAATATGGTGCAACGGCGACTGCTCTTAAAATTGAATTACCAGATTCCCAACAAGAGATTTCTCAGCTTCCATGAGAGTCATGTCACAATGATAGATTTGCCATTCGATTAATGCAATAATTGCAAAATAAATCATGATGGTTTGTTGTGATGTCTTCGGCACTTCGAAGGTTCTTTTTTGCTGGTCTCTCTCGCGCCCTCATGCTCTCTTACGTGTCTCTCTGTTCGCCTTATCCCCCGCGGAAGGCATGGCCCAAAAGGAAGGAGTGGGAATGGACGGTAAATTAGCAATCACGTCACGCACATCGCTTGAATTTCGTGAATAAATGAAAATGCGCTTCATTTACAATTGTATATTAAAAGATAATATGACGGGTTCTTACAAATGCACTCTTGCCGGCTCGAAAAAGTGGCCTTAAAGTAAACACAGGCCAATGGCGAGTGCCGACAAAGAGTCACGGTGCCAAGAAGACCGGTCATATTATGGTTTCGTGTCGTGAAAGAATTTCAAATGGCCCACAATCATCAGCCGCAGTTCCGTCACATTGCCCATCGCGGAGAATCACGAGACGCGGGGCTTCATGGGATGCAGTGATACAAAGAGACACACAAATCAGCGCAGCATTTGCGCTTTTTATACACATTCAATCCATTGATGGAATACCGGCCGAAGATGCATCATTCACGGAGATAAACATTCCTCAGCTCAAATGCATTATGTCTCATCACGGTCTTATCTCCTCACCCCAAAATGCAATAATGCCTTTAATATCGAATTCATGTCTAACATCCCATCCCAAATATTCAGCCACACTCGCCCAGAGTTGACCAGACGGATAATGCGTTCATCCCAAAGTCAAAGAAATTGGAGTTCGTGTGGCAAGTATAGATTGTAAGGCATATAAGTGAAGTTAGAGAAGTGATAAGACGAAAATTTATGTGCTTCAGGTCATCTCTGCACTCATATATTACCGCTCGTGAGATTCTCAGACTTCTCGCACGAATATTATTCTTATTATTATAATTCTGCCGTCAGATAAATCCAATATGAATATTCTGGAGCGGTGTTCATACCCACGTAAAAGGTGAGGAATTTTATTGAAATTTCACCATCAGAATTGAAATGACGACGTAGGAAAATTAACCTAGATTCCCATCGAGATTCTCGAAAGTAGAAACTCTCTAAGGAAACTTTCAAAAACTTCCACCGTTACTTCTACTCACCGAAAATGCTCAGGATGTGAACCTAAAAAGAGAAAAAAATGAATTTAGCTGAATTCTCACAATTGCAAGATTATGAAAAAGCATTTTATACTTAAAGTTCTGCACATAATAATAATCCAAATTCAAAATTCGCATCCCATTAACGGGCACTTCAAAGTAAAAGCCTCAAATCCGATCTTATCAGTAATCACCCAGAATGCATTCAACTCTGCATACTCATGTTCTCTCGAGAGAGATTCTCTCTGCGGAGAATGCCTTTCTTGCAAGGTGGTTGTGTGAGAAATTGATTTTCTGCTAAATACATCCCCAAAAGCAGCAAGATAAAAATTGCTGGAATGTCACACTAAAAAGTTTGTAAGACACAGTCGGAGAGGTATTTTCGGTATGTGGAATATTCATGCATACAAGAAGTGCATGGAAGATGTTGATGTGATGATTATTCTATGGATGCTGCAAGGTTCAAAGGGAGGGTGCACATGCGACAATGCTTATTCACGAGACTCGTCTTATGCGACAAATTTCCATGTGTGCATACGTTCAATTTAATTCAGAAAATGCAGCCATAGCATGTCCTCTTCATCACCATCAAACCCATGTACACACAATGCACCCATGAAGAATATGCAGTTGGACTTGATTGTGGAGTTTGGCGTTTGGTTGAATAAATATAATTTCAAGGAACACAAATACAAATTTCAATCACTCAATCTTATCCTGAAGAATTTATTTAATCCCACCAAGTATGTAGGAAAATGTAAACTAACAGCACAATTGCATTACATGCCATCCACTGTTGTCCCCCCATCTTATTTGCTGCACATGATGTAGCTTTTTACGAATATGTTTGCGAGACCTCCTCCCATTTTCCCGGACTACACAAGAAACAGTTCAATATTGCTGTCCTTTGGCCATGGCAAATTTATACAGTCAACAATGAGAAATTCCACTCGCAACTATGCTACAAAATACACATGACTTCACTACTGGGACATCGGATGGTAGAATGAGATTTCATAAAACTCCCAAAGTATTTTGCTAATATAAAAATCTCAGAGCACTGAAAGTTTCTTGGAATCGAAAATTTCTAAAATGCACCATCATCCCTTTGTAATGGAGTTGAGGGATGCTGATTCAGGGGCGGGGGAAGGGAAGCAAATGAAATTGCGTAGCAGAGCTTTTGATGAGCTTCGAAGAATTCATCACTGACGTCAAGGAGAAATACTGCGAAATACACTTTACACGCTATATTGAGTTGAAAACAAAGCTACATACATATGCAATATATAATGTGTTTGTGATCTATTGAATGAGAGCTTTCCAGAACAACTTCATTTATTATCTACATTCGCAGCAACATTTCCACTGGTCGAACGTAAAAATGTTCGTTGCAACCGAATGGATTTTTGCTGATATCATTTTTCCATCTATTTGATTTTAATGCTCCCCAAGTCAAAATCCAGCCAGGAGAAGCATCCTTAAAATTTATCTTACCATTCCACCCTTGAGCGGAACTTCGCCCTCGAGACGGGACAATTTACTGAAATTTTCATTCTCCCGGAGATACTAATATTGCATTTGCAACAGAGTGGAAGCCAGTGCTATAATAAAGTTCAACATTAAGTCACCCATAAAAATTGCACATTGGCTGGAAGTGGAGAGAAGAAAAAAAACGTCGGGTTGTTCTTGCTTTGGGGAATTTTTGCCATGTCTTCAGGGATCTAATTCGATTTGCCGGTGGAATCTCAGGAGAAGGAAGACATGTGCATAGCAGATAATGTCACGATTGATTCGAAGAGTGGAAAACTGACCAAACAATTTCCTTCTGCCATTTCACGGGAACGAAGCACCCGGAGAGGATATTTCTAATTTCGACCAAATTAGTTCAATGGATTTACTTATGGGACAGACACACGGAATTGAACTGAAGATTTCAAGCTCGGCAATTCCGATAATGTCTTCTCATGCAACTTACCATGTCCATCAGACGGAAAAGAATTACGATAAGTGAACTTTTTCGACTTTTTCATTGTTTCCCTGTATTTGCTTACAGGGACTTTTTCGCAACGATTCACTCACAGAAACTTCCTCCACCGAGACTATCTTCAGGTCCGTCTGACTTGCACGAATGCAGAAATATTTTGAGTACTGACTTTTTCGCGTATTTCGCTCCAAACTCTGTCATCTGCTCTTGGGTTTGCATGGTAAAACGCAGAGGGTTCGTAATCGAGAACAATAATAGGTATGCAGAGAGGGATTTATGCAAACTAAGTGAGAATTGCCTTGAATTCATCAGGAATATTTATCATTTAAGCTTTCCCGAACTTCCAGTTTTCTGCACAGTCTCCTTCGTTGACATGCCTCTTGGCGAAGAAGCAAGAGTGGTGTGGAAATAAGAAGAAAATCATCTATTCGTGGTTCATGGCACAATGAAATTGAGAAAGAGTACTCCGAGCACGTAGAAATTGGCGCCAGTCTCTTCTTTTTATAATCCTCCTGTGCGCGCATTTAAGCCACAAATACTCATTCTTTTTTCCTCCCTACGCCGTCTTCTTATTACTTGGAAAGGAATTCAAAAAGGAGAGAGGAATTCCACGGCAAATTGAGAATAAAGTGTTGTGGAGAAAGAATGTGGGATGTTGAGTGATTTGTTCTGGTCTCTTCCAATATAAACCACCATATTCTTCTAATGGTGATAAATTTTCATTATCGGGAGAGTAAAATATAAATTCAGAGCATTACATCTCTAATTACAGATTGCAAGATGTGATTATTTCAGTCTAGAAAGCTTCTCGTCTTGCCATGTGATGATTCTTTACACTCTTTGCCTTCCCCACACAATTTCATCCTCATCTTTTGTGAAATTTTACTCCACAATTTCCACGCCAGTCACTCATATTCCTCCTTTATTTCACTTACAGTGTACTTTTATTTCAATCTCCCATTTGGGTGTTGCTAAGCTCTGTTTTCAGTGCGGTGGACAGAAGTGAAACTATATATAATGTACGCATTTGTGAATCGAGAATTACTTTCGAGATTTATCATAAAATTAAATTATTATACCTGGGTTATTGTGTTATTATTCGGGGCATAGATTCTTCCCACTCCTCTTCCCCTCAGTAACCCAGATATGGGACTTCCAGCGGCCATAAGTTCTATTCTCGCACTCCCCACGGTCGTTGGTGCAAAGTGGAAATGAATCAAGGCGAAAAATTAATTTCCGCAGCAGCATCTCTGGAATTCCAGAGCAGCTCCCCATATTTCTCCTCGCAGCTTCATCTTTGCACAATTTCAGCCGAGAGATGTGGACCCGGAGATATGAGTAGGCAAATGGCAAAATCTCATATTCGCGTGCGAACCGCGCGCCAACCAGTGTGCACCACGGATGGATTTTCAAACAAATGCCGCGTGCAAATGTAGGAAAATTCATATTTTCACGCTGACACCGCAAAAGTGTGGGAAACTCACTGATTGTGTGACTCCCAAATGCACAAACATATGAAGTACACAGAATTCTCTGAATTATTTGCTGAGATAATTTCAATGCGAATATTTGGGTATTTGTCGCCGTTGCTTTTTCACCACAGTCACACCTATGCTTGAGAACACTTTCAGTGATCTCATTTGCGAAAAATTCTCCTGCAACGAAAGTTTAGACCACTATTTTTATGCTTCCAACAGTAAAATAGCCCACAACTAAAATACAGATACGTGGTGAGTTCGTAAACTTTCATGTATAAGTTTGGATTTGCTTCTTACATGCCCTCTCTTCTCAGATTCTTTGCGCAATTGTTATTCGGCATAGAAAGTCCGTTGTATTTTTCTCAACATCCAAGACAAACATTACGGGAGATAACTATCGAAAATTGAGCATTTTCAGCTGCAACAAACCCTTTCGGCACTGAATACTCTCGGGTGAATATGAGTTGAAACATTTTACAAGAAAAAGCAATCTCTTCATCTTTTTCTCTCGCCCAATTACATAACACCCTTTTCAGCATCGCGGTAAGTGCACAGAAAGACCGTCTCCTCTACAAGGAAATTGAATTAAATTTCCAACAGAGAGATTTTCTGAATCATACCCACCAATTGTGGAGGACTTTTTGCCATGAGGCCCGCGACATGGTGAAAAAAAGACAATACAGCCTCAAATGTTATTTGATGAAAGACGACCTGTTAGTAAAAACACAATCAAAAGGTGCTATTGAAGTCGAGGAGGAAGTATGTAAATCATGTTTCACTGCGAGAATATTTCTCTAATTGCTGAATTTGGGCAGCGCAATAAAGAGTGGAATGTAATGTTAATTTCAAGAGTTTTATTGCCAAGAACATTGAAATTCACCCTGAAAGTCATCTTCCTGACTGTCTGTCCATGTGTTTTGCTGATAATCTCTGACAAATTGCTTTAATTTCTTGACTTTCAAGAATGTTAATGTGATTTGATTTGTATTTCTCCCATTTGGTTATTCAATTTATCGTGGAGGAGAGAGAGAAGAAACTCCCAAGAATTAAATGATAATTTTTCTACCTGGGCCTTTTCTGCCCATACTCTTCTTTTTTCTCTGCTCTTGGCATCCACCAAAACTTCTTCCTTTTTTCTTAACGAGCAAAGGTGCGGGGAAGTGTGTCTGAGAGCCAGAGCTAGAAACTTGAGACAGAAGAAATGTTTGTTCACATCGACAGACTTCCCAATAATCAAAAAAACATAAATTGTAAATTAAATCAAATGCTGAATGATTTACTTTTTTCTTGCCTTGTGTGGATCCGATTAAAATAAGTGGCACTTTAGGAGATCATAAATAAATTTACTTCTCTTCGTGATATGAAGGAAGATTTTCCTTCCACCTCTCATATTGATTTTCCTCACTGTGTCTCCCACATTTATCTACACTCTGTGGGTAGGTGACCCACCCTTTTTAAATTTCATTTCTTCGCTCCTTATTTTAACACATTCACCACACACAGTCTTCCATCTCCATGTATGATTTACTATCGCTGGCACAGTTGAGGAAAAAAACATCAGCC